GGCCCTGCCTTGGCACCTCTAGAGTAGGTCCCCCGACCTCCTCGCCATGCATTACGAAAAAACTCTCTTCCGGGTCGATAAGATCTGGCCTCCCGATATGGCTCCGTGAAACGTCGGTTTTGTCGAAAGGGCTGCTGGCGTCTCTTTCTATCTTGCGGGAGCAACCCAGACTTACCCCCCGTCACTCTCTTAATAGCCTCCTCCAGAGGAGCCCCGAAGATTAGCCTTCCCAGCGAAGGGAATGGCGCAAAGCCCTTGCTTTGATGCGCCGTCCGCTGACCAGTGCTTTAACCATAGAGCCCTGCGGCCTGTCACTGAGAACGACATCAGACGGGCTGACAAACGGACTAAGTCCACCGAAGCTTCCGCTACAAAGTCTGAGGTCATCTTCAAGTTCCCCAAGGACTCCACAATATTCTCTCTTGGCACCCCTGAAAGCAATGCCTCCTCGATGCCAGTAATCCACACCCTCATAGCTTTGCTAACTGAAGATAATGCAACCGCGGGTCTGCATGAAGCTCCGGCCGTGGCGTATATTTTCTTTAAATCCACCTCCAGATGCCTGTCCATGGGATCCTTAAAAGAGACAGAGTCATCTAATGGTAGAAGCACATGTCTAGCCAGCCTTTGCAAGGCCGCATCCACCTTGGGAGAAGTATCCCATAATTCGGAATCAGATGGCCGACATGGATACAACTTTGAAATTCGACAATTTTCCCTTCCTATCCGGCCTTGTCCATTCCTCTTCAATAATCTCCTTGATTTCAAAGAAGAGGGGAAAGGTAGGTAACTCCTTCTTAATGTTTGGAAAAAATCTTCTCTGTTTGCTAACGGGGACGGGATCCTCCTCCCAGTCAAGCGCGAGCCTGATAGCGGCTATAAAGGGAGAAACTAGCGCAAAATCAAAGGAAAAAGCCTCATCGAGGACTTTATCCCTGTCCCCCTCTGAGTCCTCCAACTCTGACTCTTGTGAGGTTGCCACCTCCACGGGCCTTTCTCTCTCTCTTTGCCGTTTAGCCGAGGTACTAAGTCCTGTGTACTCTCTGATCCCCTCTGCTACTGCTTCACGGATATAAGCTTTGATATCCTGTGAGTCAGAAGCTGCGTCCTTTGCCAACTCTTTTATGCAAGTGGAACATAGCAGCTTTCGTGGCAGCGCCCGGTCACCACATGCCCGACAGGCCTCAGAGGATGTGCCGGCCGGTGGTGTGATAGACACTTGCCTGGCTCTAAGCTGCTGGGGAGACCTAGGCTCAGGAGAACTCGATATCCTGCGGGAGCGTGACTTTACTTTGTTTCCTGTATTTAGGGCTTTTCCCCCTGAAACGACATACCCCATAATTAGCAGTGCGCTCTTTTAATTCCACAAAAAAAACATATGCCTCATACCTCTCTGACTTCGTGCCTGTTGAACCGGGCTACCTGGGCTCATGGTGGCTTACTAGAGGAAACATACATGCAGATAGATAAAAAACCTATGCTACATATGGCAGCAAAATCGCAACAGCGATCACCCCAGTCTTACCTGGCAATAGACAGCGTAGTGAGAGAATCCGTCACCTCAATAATCTCCTAGCGCAGAGTACCATCAACCCTCTGGAAGACTGCCAGCTTTATAAGCACTACTGCCCTAGGCTGTCACTGACGAGAGCGGCCAGATGCGCCTCGGCGTGCGCTCCACGCTGGTCCGCCATCCAGCAACTGCAACCAGCCCAGCCAATCCGAGAGCGGCAGGGAGGGGCGGGACCCATAGTCATGCTGGAACGCAGATGAACCACAACCGCGGCTTCCGCCGTTACAGTCCACGGCCAGGAAGGAAGACGTGCGCGTCATCCTGGAACGCATATGCCGGCCGGAGGGGAGAACAGCGTCTGCCTGAAACGAACCACCACCATGAGCCGCACTTACCCAGCCCCGCTGCCTGTAACCGTTTAGATTACCTCTGGCTCCAAGCCCGGCACACGGCATGTCCCATCCTGTGGTTTTACCACATCCAGAGACATCTATCACCCGGGAGAAGAGGCTGAACCCGAGGTGAGCACCATGCAGAGAAGGCAATAAAAAATATAAGAAATAAATAAAAAATAAACATGTTAGTAAGGTGTCCTGAGCGAGAACAAAAAAGAACACGTGTGTGGTGGGAAGGGGGGGATTTATACTCTGGTTAGGGGTGGTCCTATAGGGGTCCGGGGGCGGAGTTAACCCATTGGTGTGCCGACATGAGGTGAGACAGGAAATATATATATATAGACTATATATATATCTATCTATAATCAGACTTCTGTATGTGTATATATATATATACACAGAAGTCTGATTATATATATATAAATACCATTTTTAAAGGAGCAGTGATTTAACATCACTTAAAATGAAACATTAAAAATAAAAAATTCCTTTATATATGGTGCCTGGGGGGTCCCCTTTCACTGACCGTAAAGTGGTGCATCTGTATGATGTATAGAACTTGCTGAAGCAAATATGACATTTATATACATTTATATATAAATATATACTACAGAAGTCCGAGATATATATATACTACAAAAATGACATTTATACTACTTGCATTGAGTTCTAAGTTCGAATTAGAACTTTTTCCATGTTCGAAAGTTTGAGTTAGAACCAAACACGGGGGTATTCGGCTCATCCCTACTGCTTATACCCTGCAGACGCTTGCAGTCAATATTGGTCTACATGCCTGCCCTCGAGTGATGTCTGCATGGTCTTTCTCAGGACAGGTTTACTGATGGTGATAAAAGTTCTCTATTCTTGTACAATATGTGTAAGCACAGCTGTGTGTAGTATATATTGCAAGCCTGTGTACCAACACAGAGCAATTGGGAAAGAGAGACAGAGCATTGCTGCTTTTTAGCAAGAAGTGCCTGAATAAGACCCTTCACAGTGGGATCACCAGTTATTATTTTATTTTTTATTATTCTGAATTTATATTATTTTTTAATGACCTATGGTACAAAACACTTATTTTTTTTAAATGTGACATATCTAGGTTTTGTGTATCTTCCAGTTTTTGTACATATTCTTATCTTAGATGTCTGATTCCGTGACACCAGTGGGAGCTAAGGCACCAGCTACAGCAACATTTTTGGGTGTCCCCATTTGCACAAATTTGCTAAGCTTATCACTTGCCGTATTATTGTGATCGTATTTCATATAAATATTTTTTGGTGCTCCCTCTAGAGATTAGAATCAACACTCTTGCTGAACAAATACAGTGTGAAAACATTTACAGGGTTATTCACAAAAGGGTGAAGAGTTGGGAGAAGGAAGGAGAAATGAACAATCTAGGCCAAAATAGCTGATTTGGAAATGTTCAGCTGTGTTGTCCTAGATTGTTCACTTCTCCTTCCTTCTCCCAACTCTTCACCCTTTTGTGAATAACTACGTTAGAGAATAAGGTACTTAAAAGTGTCTAAATCCAAAGCTTTTTTTAATGTTGGACTACGTAAGGATTAGAACTTCTATTAAGTGTCTATCAATTTCTGTGCCCGCTAGAGAGATTCAGTCCCTCCATTTGTCCAGGTGACTTGTCACTGAGACTGTGAGAGAAAATCCAAAGTTTTCAGTTGTCACCAGTACCAGAATAGAGAGCAATTCTGATACTGGTCATTTTCTAATGAGGACACTCGATCCAGTGACAACAAGAGAATATTTCCCGCAGAGTTTTTCTCGAACTTTCTGTGGCAAAACTACATGGCAAAAAAATAACAAAGATTGTAAACACTGCCTGCTCTATTCAAAATATAAAATGGTTTTGACTTTGAGAGGTATTTATCAGAACTGAAGCAAACAAAATCTGGAGCATTGCTAAGAAGAAGGGTGCACAGTGTGTATATGTATATATACAGTACATTAATTATGTCTGTCCCCATTTAATAACAACATTAAAGAGAGTCTTGATACAATGTGGAAAATGTAAAAAGAAAATGGAAACAATAATTTGTTATATATCACCTAAAGATGTTATTATATACAGTATATATATTTCTTGAACATTCTTGTGTTCTTAGTTGTTAATCCAGAATGAGTAACACACATTGCAGCAATTGATATAGCTAACAACCAAAAA